CGGCATGTGAATGAGACCAGCCTCTCAAAGGCGAGGCTGGGATCGCAGGGCACAAGGCTGTTGCATCCTTTGCGAGGCATGTTTCCATGGTGGGAAACGTTCGCTGTGTACAAGACAAGACCCATTCTCATTTTTTTTAAAAAAAATCACTTATGCAAATCTGGTTCCATTTGCATGAAGGGGGACATTCCTCGGCCCTAGAGGACTTAAGAAAGCAAAGGGTGAGGTCCCAGCCAGTTGCTTTTGTGTTTCAGAAAGCCCCTCACCATGGCCTGGACTCTGTTTTTCCTGGCCCTTCTCAATTACTGTTCAGGTAAGGATGCAAACAGGTAACCTCATGTAGACCTGAGAGATAAAACCAAAATTACGTGTAGTTTTTATTTATTATGGAAACCTAAAGCTCCAGTGATATTTGAGAACACAGAGGATGGAGAGTCATGCTTTTCTTTTTCTTTTTCAAAAGGTGCCAATTCACAGCCAACAGTGACTCAGACAGGCTCCCAGTCTGTGTCCCTGGGCCAAACTGCGAAACTCGCCTGCTCTGCAAGTAGTGGTGGTAGCTGGGGCTACTTTCACTGGTATCAACAGAAACCTGGACAGGCTCCTCGCTTTGTGTGGTATGGCTCCAGCGACAGGGGAGAAGGGATCCCAGATCGGTTCACTGGCTCTGAATCTGGGAACACTGGCTCTTTAACCATCTCCAACACCCAGGCTGAAGATGAAGCAGTTTATTTCTGTGGTGCCTGGGAGGTCACTGGTGGTAGCAAGTTCCACAGTGATACAATGTGATGGGGAACTGAGACAAAAACCTTTTCTCTTCTGCCCTGCCACAACGAAACCTGAGTTCCTCAAGAGCAGAGTTGGGCCTGAATGAGCTCAGACTGTTTTTGACAAGAATGTGGTGTGATAGCAGATTACTTTAGACACGGGAATACATTTAGAGAAATGGCCCCACCGTAACATCTGACACAGCTCAGCAATAAACTGCAGCCCTCAGTTCTTAATTCTCCTTGATGGGTAGGTCAAATCCCAATAACTTTGCCAAAAAATGATCATCAACTTTTGTGTCTGGTTTTCACATTTTGAAAAATGGCAACCATGTTAATAAATAAATAGCTAGATTTTTTAAAAAAAAAATCTTGCAAACAAGTCACAATGAATGTTCAAAAAGCAGTAACCCAGTCCAATATTCTATATTCTTCTTCTCACTCCAGAATCTCAAGATCTTTCCCACCATCTGCGTCTTGATCTATTTATCTCGGGTGCAAAGAACTGGACCTTCCACATGCAAGTCACATCCTTTGACCTTAAACTTTCATTCCCCTTTATCCCTCTTCCCTTGAGATATCCCCATCAGCCTGGATAAGGAAGAATTATCCTGCTTCTTCCTTAAGGTCATCTTCTACCAGACAAGCACCATCGCTAATACTATTTTTAAATCTCCTTTCTGCTAAAGTGTTATATTGCATCTCATTTTGATATTGCATTTTGTATTCTCTGAAGAGAGACAAAGTTCTAACAGAGCCAATGAACATGGGATGTCCATTAAAGGACCATTCATCAGCCCTGGGGAGATATAAGAAAGGAAAGTGTCAGGTCCCACCCAGCTTCCTGTTAGAGTCAACATGCTCTTTAAATGTATTCTAATTGTTTCTGTTATTTCTTAGGAAATTCACACTGTAATGCAATAAAAGGCAATATGTAAGAAATGAAACAGGCAATGAAAATACAATTAAACGTGCAGCACCTAACACAGCACATTACAATTACTATAAGAGGCAGAAAAATTATTAAGCACCCATCCTTAAGACCCTAGGCAATTTGATATGCAAAACTCGCAGACTTAACATATAGAATAAGAGAACAAGAAGAACATACATTTAAAGAAGATTGGAAAACATTTATTGAATATATGGGGAATAATTGTGTACAGCTGAAAACACTGGCAGCATTTAGATAAATTCAACAGTGTAAACAAGTTTTGATGGATGCAATAATGGAATACTGAATTGTATAGTTTCTGTAAAATATGCAGGGGCTTATGATATGTAAAATGAACCATGGAAAGAAAAGAAGGGCAGCCATTGGTATCTTAAGGATGTAAAAGGAGTATTTTAAATTGTAAAACAACCCCTTGGAAATTGGCCAGGGTCTTATATATATAAATTTCCAAGAGGGTTGTGTTTGGAAATCTTTCCTCTCACCTCCAGGCCCTGAGAAACTTTGCCATGGAAATCTCAGTGTATCTGGCTTCTGTTAGAGCGGCAAACTCTACAGTCCTGTCGTTAATCTGTAGGGGGCAATGTTGGTCCACTTATACCAGATTTGGCAAAAATTATATGACCACATAAACTTCCTGCAACTGCGGTGTGAAGTGAAAACGAAGAATGCTCTTTGTTCGTGAGTAAATCTCCTGTGCCTTCCAACTCATTCAGGTGCTAATGTTCAGCGACTCTAATCTAGAATATGAGACACGGGGCTGACCAAAGGGGGAACACTTGGTGCTCCAGGTGTTACTGAACTGCGAGTCCCATCAGCCCCCTCCCAGACAGCATGGCCAGGGGCCAGCCTTGCTGGGTACTGTAGATAGGGCCAAAGGTTCCCCACACCTGGTGCACATTGGGGGAAGGGATAAGAAGAACAAAGTCTTATTTTTGTTCCCATTCCCAGTCAACATTTAATGCAATCAGGTGCCAAAATCAGGTGCCAATCAGGTGTATCTGAAGAAGTGTGCATGCACACGAAAGCTCATACCAGTAACTAATTTAGTTGGTCTCTAAGGTGCTACTGGAAGGAATTTTTTTATTTTGTTTCAACTACGGCAGACCCTGTAACTAGTTGCCTAAATGTTTTGCATATTTTACATAAACTAAACCATTCAGTATTCCATTGTTACATCCGTCAATACTTATTTACACTGTTGAATTTATCTTCATGATGCCAACGTTTTCGAGTGTACACAATTCCCCCCCCCCGTGTATTCAAGCAATATTTTCCAGTCTTCTTTAAACGTATGTTCCTCTTGCTCTCTTATTCTATATGTTCGCATATTCCATCATATTTGAAATGTGATGCAGCTGTTTTGTTGTTTCTGCTGTTCTGGCTTTAACCTCCAGGGGACAATGTTGGGCCACCTACCTGTTTTTTAAAATAATAGTGAATTATATTACAAAACGGAAAATTGTTACAAAAACCGAACTGTTTGGGTGAAGTGAAGCATCAGAATGTTTTTTCTTATGCCTGACTACTCTCTTAGGATATTTGCATGAGGAGCAGTGCTGATGAGCCACTTTCCCCCTGTAATCACAGTTTGCAATGGAGAGAAGTTTCCATTGCAACCTGGACAAAGCTTCAGAGTTTGGGAGCTGATTTTATTTTTTAATTCCCACCTGTAAGTCCCTGAATCTGAGAAAGGAGGGTGGTGGGTTGGCTTGTTTCAACAAGGAGTGCTTAAATAGGTTTGCATATTATTATTATTATTAATTTTATTATTCACAAACAGAAAGAAAATGAAAAACATAATTACAATTCATAAACCATGTTTTACCAAACCCGAACTCATATAGACTAATAAAGAACTATAATTTGCACCCGTGTGGCTTCCATCCACCACAACTCAACATCCTTTACTGCATACTCTTATTTACACTGTGTCCTTATATTGATCATTTTATATCTATTAATAATTTTACCTTGAATTAGTACCTCTTTGCATACTTATTCTATGCATATCAATATGTTTTCTTTAGAACAGTGTTTTTTCATATATTCCTCAAAACATTGCCATTCCTTCCTTTGATTAGACTGATTTCTTATGGCTGCCGTTAGTTTAGCTAATTCTATAAATTCACATAATTTACTGTTATGTACTGAGTTGAATAGGATCCAAAATGCAGCAGTCTGATTGGTCCTAGAACAATAGGATTCAAAATGCAGCAGCCTGATTGGTCCTAGAACAATAGGATTCAGAATGCAGCAGCCTGATTGGTCCTAGGAACCAGAATGCAGCAGTCTGATTGGTCCACAGGAGCCACCCAATCCAGCTCCAGGTGAAAGTGAATCCGCAACCAGATTGGCCTACAGGTGAATTCCGGAATTAGCCAATCACGTGGGGCCCATTGTGTAAATAATGTATATAAAGCGGACATTCTGGGGGACTTCCATTCCTCCTCACCACTATGAGCTGAATAAAGAGCATAAAATCCACTCTTGACTCAGAGTATGTTTCATTTACTTATCTAGTCTTCCTTTGTGGGGATAGTATCCCCTTTTCAGTTTCTAGCAAGCAATAATCTGGCTGCGGCTGTGCCATATCATTTTTTTTATTCTGTTGAGACTAAGACAGCCAGTTGTGTCTGCCTTTGTGTTGAAAGCCCTTTCTTAATGGGGATCTGCCTTATAGCAGCTCCAACTATTTCTCCATTCCAGGCAATTCCAGCTTGCCATTATTTTCAGCTGAGATTCAGTCACGTACCAGCAAACTGAGGCTGCACAATTCAGGTTGATTTCGAGGTGTTGTGCAGGAAGCCAGCTCCTCCTCAACATGCGACTTTGCCAGAAGGAAATTGATCGGGGAATGCATTAGAATATATAGGGCAACATTTGCTGGACACACCACCTAACCTCATCACGAACATCAGAACCAAGGTTTAATGAAATTTTAATCCAGTATCGTTATTCTGACTGCACAGTCTCAGATCTGCAGGCAAATCTTTGTCACCATGTGCTGCTTAATTTTTTAAAATTTAATTTGAGATGCAGGGATGGCACCTTCAGCATCCACACATCACCCCTCATCCCTTGAACTACAGTCCCAGCATGAATCACATGCTTCCTTGTGGTAAATTGACCTAGTGTCACCTCAAGTTCACAAGACAAGAACCTCCTCATTTTAAAAAGCAAACATCTCCTTTATACAAATCAGTTCCATTGTATTTTGCTTACTGCATCATTTATTCCAGACAAAGGCTTTCTAACAGAGCCAATGAGCACCGCCTGGATTTGCATCAAGAGATCCTTCACCAGCTCTGGGAAGTTTTAACAAAGGAAAGACTCAGGACCACCAGCAGTTGCCTGTTAACCTTCAGAAAGTCGCCTTGCTTTAGAGAGCTCACCATGGCCTGGACTCTGTTTTTCCTGGTTCTTCTCAGTTACTGTTTAGGTAAACACAAAAAGAAGTAGACTTAAGTTGGCCTAAATGGGGGGGGGGGGAGCATATCTTTAATGTTTATTTATCATAGTGCCTTAAAGTTCAGGGGATATGTGAGAACAGAGAGGATTGAGAATCATACATTTCTTTTTCTCTTCTCTTTTTTTTACAAAGGTGTTATTTCACAGCCAGCATTGACCCAGCTGGGATCCCAGTCTGTGTCCCTGGGTCAGACTGTGACCCTCTCCTGCTCTAAGAATAAGGGGAGCTGGCAGACCTTTGGCTGGTGTCAACAGAAACCTGGGCAGCCTCCTCGTTTTCTATGGTATGGTCCCAGCACCAGGGGAGACGGGGTCCCAGATAGGTTCACCGCTTCTCCCTCTGAGGATACCGGCTATTTAACCATCTCCAATGTCCAGGCTGAAGATGAGGCAGTTTATCACTGTTTTGCATGGGAAGGCACCGGTACTCCAAAGTTCCACTGTGGTACCATCTGATGGGGAACTGAGACAAAAACCTTCTCTCTCCTTCCCCTAAAAGCAAAGAAACCAGAATTAGGCAAGAGATGAGTTTGGTCCAAATGAACTTTATTTCTTTTTGGCAAGAATATCAAGTTAGGTAAACAGATGGATGCTTTTAGAGAAATGACCTCACCACTTCTTCTTCTTCTTCTTCTTCTTCTTCTTCTTCTTCTTCTTCTTCTTCTTCGGCGATCACTCGTAGCCGAGTAAGATTGTCTTCCATAAACACGGTTTTAACAATGAGTCCGTAAGTGACTGTGGAGGCCAATTCTGGATCCACACGTCCTTCCACAGTGGGGACATTGGTTTCTGGGTGGGAGTTGATCATGGTGTGGATTTGCGAAGCGTGCCTTCCTCTTATTGCGTTTCTCCCTTGCGTCCTAAGTTCGAGTGTCTTCAAAGCCCATGACACCTTTGGTAAAGGCTGTTCTTCAACTGGAACGCTCGCAGGCCAGTGTTTCCCAGTTGTCAGTGTTTATACTACATTTTTAAAGATTTGCCTTGAGACAGTGACATGTCCCACCATTACGCAGAGGTCCACAATTTTGGCACGACCTTGTCAAAACTGTAGTTACAAGGCCCCTGGCCTGTCAAACCAGTTCTTACATTGGATCCCAGTACGTTTCCGAGCACAATTCAAAGTGTTGGTGCTGACCTTTAAAGCCCTAAACGGCCTCGGTCCAGTATACCTGAAGGAGTGTCTCCACCCCCATCGTTCTTCCCAGACACCGAGGTCCAATGCCGAGGGCCTTCTGGCGGTTCCCTCGCTGCGAGAAGCCAAGTTACAGGGAACCTTCAGAGGGCCTTCTTGGTAGTGGCACCTGCCCTGTGGAACACGCTCCCACTAGATGTCAAAGAAAAAAACAACTATCTGACTTTTAGAAGACATCTGAAGCCAGCCCTGTCTAGGGAAGCTTTTAATGTTTAATAGACTACTGTATTTTAATATTCTGTTGGAAGCCACCCAGATGCAGGGTATAAATAAATTTATTATTATTATTATTATTATTATTATTATTATTATACATGTGATTTATTCAGTCATCGCGGTAAGGACAAAGAATTCCGGACATTCCTCCATAATGGAGTTGTTCGCACTGAGCTCCTCCTCCTCTCCCCTCCAGCAACAACACCTGTTCATACGGCGTCTGTCCATGGACAATTGTCTCTGTGCTCTTTGTTCTTGCACCCTTAATGAAGGCCGCGTTTTCGGAGAAGGGGGGTCGGTTATGCTGTCCAGTGACGTGTCAGCTAGCTGTTCTCTCCCCCCTCCCCCTTCTCCTAACTCTGCTGTCTGACTATCTCTGAGCTGTTATCTTCCTCCAAGCCCTGCTGTAAATCAGGACTGCCTTCCTTCTCTCTGGAAGCTACAGGAGAAGGGAGGGAGGGGACACCCCTCCCACTCTTTCTCCTCTTCAGTCCAGTCTCTGACACCACCGTTTAAATGAGGTTTTGCAGTTCATGCAAATCCAACCTTCACAAGCTATCGGATACAAAATGGTCGACCTGAAAACGTCTCAAGGAGGCTGCTGCTGCTGCAACTGGGCTCCTGGAAATTCTTTGCTCAACTTCACTTGCGGCTATGTGAATTCACATTTGCACCTGAAGTAGACCATGGCAGAACTTGCACGTCTGAATTCAGCTCTGATTAAAGGGTGGGGCTTTGTCCTCCCCACCACCCCACACACATTTTCTCAAATCTTGTACAGTGGTACCTCAGGTTACATACGCTTCAGGTTACAGACTCCGCTAACCCAGAAATAGTACCTCGGGTTAAGAACTTTGCTTCAGGATGAGAACAGAAATCACACGGCGGCGGCGTGAGGCCCCATTAGCTAAAGTGGTGCTTCAGGTTAAGAACAGTTTCAGGTTAAGAACGGACCTCCGGAATGAATTAAGTACTTAACTTGAGGTACCACTGTATGTAGAATGTTGGTTGTCTACTTTTGGCCTGTAAGATGGACCAACTTCCCCATATCTCATAGAATTTACCAGTCACAGAAATCCCGTGAACAGCCTGCACCTGTGGAGCAAATGAAGCAGGACATGCTCAGGAAGGACATATCTGCTCAAGTTTCCACCGCCAACTGCCCCGTCTTTCCTACTCATTCAGGCACAGAAATCAAACGATAACCTCGCTCTCATCCAGTTAACCCACAATTCAAGCTGTGGAAAGCTTTGTAAATTTCCACAACTGGGGGCAAAGTTCAGGACTCTTTTTTTCCTTTTTGTATATAATTTTTATTAAATTTTCTGTTTCCCATTTTAAAATACAGTGGTACCTCAGGTTACATAAGCTTCAGGTTACAGACTCCGTTAACACAAAAATAGTGCTTCAGGTTAAGAACTTTGCTTCAGGGTGAGAACAAAAATTGTGCTCTGGAGGCGCGGCATGTAATAATGGAATACTGAATGGTTTAAGTTTATGTAAAATATGCAGGGATTTATGATATGTAAAATGAACCATGGAAAGAGAAGAGGGGAAGTCATTGCTATTTTAAGGATGTAAAAATGAGTACAGTGGTACCTCGGGTTAAGTACTTAATTCTTTCCGGAGGTCCGTTCTTAACCTGAAACTGTTCTTAACCTGAAGACCGCTTTAGCTAATGGGGCCTCCTGCTGCCACCGTGCAATTTCTGTTCTCATTCTGGAGCAAAGTTCTTAACCCAAGGTACTATTTCTGGGTTAGCGGAGTCTGCAACCTGAAGTGTCTGTAACTTGAAGCCTCTGTAACCCGAGGTACCACTGTACTTGGTAACACTATGACCCCTTAATTTTTATCTTGGCCAGAGTGAGGCCTGCCCTCAACATCATCATGCAAATTTCTCCTTTGATCATTGGCTTTTCACGGAGAGAAGCAAGTAGATAAAGACACTCTTGCAGAAGCAATGAGCATACAACCAATCTGCGTGAAGGAGACATTTGGTATTTCCGGGGGATTTCAGAGAGGGGGAAGAAGATCCCATCTAGATCTTTAGTTAGACTCTAAAGGAGTCTTACCATGGCCTGGTACCTGCTTTTACTGTCACTTCTCAGCTACTGCTCAGGTAAGAGCGTGGAAGACGCACATCACGTAGGGCAATATCCAAACTTTATCTGCCAGAGGGAGATAAAGCTTCTGTGGTATTTGAATGCATAGGAAATGTACCAAAGTCATGGTTCTTTTCTCTTTTTTTATGAAAGGTGTCACTTCACAACCCAGTTTGACTCAGCCTGCCTCCCAGTCGGTGTCTCTGGGCCAAACTGCTACACTCTCCTGCTCTAGAAATGGTGGTACTTCCTGGGATGATATTCACTGGTATCAACAGAAACCTGGACAGCCTCCCCGTTTTCTGTGGTATGGATCCAGCACCCGGGGAGAAGGGGTCCCAGCTCGCTTCACCGGTTCGCGATCTGGCTCATTAACTATCTCTAACATCGAGGCTGCAGATGAAGCAGTTTATTTTTGTTGTGACTTCGAGTTTGGCAGTGACACGTTCCACAGTGAAATAATCTGATGGGGAACTGAGACAAAAACCTTCTCTCTCCTTTCTTATGAGTGCAGAATCCTGAATCATTCAAGAGCATAGCTGCACCTGAATGACTTTTGTTAGTTTTCGACAAGAACATGCATTAAAAGTTATCAAGTTATTTAGACTAAAGAATCCTTTTGGAGATATGACCTTGTATTAAATATCTGACACATGTCCCAATAAACAATGCTCTTCATGTTTTCACTGGCCTTGTTGGCAATAAAGCCACTTCCGACTTAGAAGGGCCAAAGCTCAGGGGAGAATACCTGTTTTGCATGCACAACATCCTGGGTTCGATTTATTATCGTGTTTTTAATATTCCGTTGGGAGCCGCCCAGAGTGGCTGGGGAAACCCAGCTAGATGGGTGGGGTATAAATAAATTATTATTATTATTATTATTATTATTATTATTATTAGATCTTCTCCATGGCAAGGGCAGGAAAATGTCCTTCTGAAGTGCTTTCCTTTTGACCCCAGGGAAAATTGTTGTACAGAAACATGAATATAAGGCAAAATTATATATCTGTGGAGAAAATGAACTAAAAGCATTAATAAGGACTTTGCCTTCTTCTTCTTCTTCTTCTTCTTCTTCTTCTTCTTCTTCTTCTTCTTCTTCTTCTTCTTCGAATCATAGAATTGGAATAGACCACAAGGGCCATCAAGTCCAACCCCCTGCCAAGCAGGAAACACCATCAGAGCACTCCTGACATATGGTTGTCAAGCCTCTGCTTAAAGACCTCCAAAGTAGGAGACTCCACCACACTCCTTGGCAGCAAATTCCACAGTCGAACAGCTCTTACTGTCAGGAAGTTCTTCCTAATGTTTAGGTGGAATCTTCTTTCTTGTAGTTTGGATCCATTGCTCCATGTCCGCTTCTCTGGAGCAGCAGAAAACAACCTTTCTCCCTCCTCTATGTGACATCCTTTTATATATTTGAACATGGCTATCATATCACCCCTTAACCTCCTCTTCTCCAGGCTAAACATGCCCAGCTCCCTTAGCCGTTCCTCATAAGGCATCGTTTCCAGGCCTTTGACCATTTTGGTTGCCCTCCTCTGGACACGTTCCAGTTTGTCAGTGTCCTCCTCCTCCTCCTCCTCCTCCTTCTTCTTCTTCTTGTGTCAAAATGTGGAAAACTGAACCAAAGAGTGGGAAAAGGTGTAACAGAGAGAAGCTGTTACTTAGCATTACTCCCCTAATACTGAGATCATTATTTGCTGTGAAATCCAAGTCTTGGATTAATAAAATTGAAACTAGAAAGCTAACAGATATTGGCAAGATGCAAAAGGATCCAAAGTGGGCAGAGTGGGATTCCTTGAAAACTGGAATTTATTATGTAAACTTCATTTGGAATGTCATAAATTCAAATTCAACCTTAGAAGAGCACTGCTGAAATTACAGCTATGAAGAAAATCCTTAATTAAATAATCATTTCATCTTG